ACTGTGCTCATACAGCATCTCCTGTATAAGGAAAGGCAGAGTAACCTGGGTCTGTTCAGCCTGGGGAAAAGAGTGAGAGGAGATCTGATAAAGGTTTATAAATATCTAGAGGGAGGTGCGAGGCAAGTGGATGAGGCAGGCTCTTCTTAGTGGTGTGCAGAGATAAGACAAGGAGTAATGGCCTAAAACTTGAACAGAAGTTCTGTACTAACATGCAGAAGAACACCTCTACAGTATGGGTGACGGAGCAGTGGAACAGGCTGCCCAGAGAGGTTGTGGAGTTTCCTTCTGTGGTCATCCTGTGTGACCTGTTGTAGGGTCCCTGCTTTAGCTTCGAGGTTGGACTCGATGATCTCTTGAGATCCCTTCCAGCCCCTGTGATTCTGTGGTTCAGTGAAAAGCCAGACAGGGCAATGAAGGAAGGTGCAGAAAGGGAGAACGTGAGCTGGGAACTCTGAAAAGGCGAAACGCCAAGAAGGTGGAGAAAACTTGCAGTGCCAAAAGCAGGAAACAATAATAGCACAGACACCAGCTCCCTCTTACTCTTCTCTTAAGACCATCATGAAAATTACTTTAAATTTAGAAGAATGACATTTAAGAGATTACAGTTTTTGTTATATAAATGATTGTTTTTCATGGAAAAGAGAAAAAAAAAAAAAAAGCTCACCACAGAACATTACTAAATTTCGACAGGCAGCCATACTCAAATTCTGAAATGATCGAATACAAAGCGTGCTTGGAGGCTGTTCTTATGCAGCAGGGCAAGGCAGACGGCCCAGAGTAGGCAGCTCCACTTTGGGTCATGCTGCCCTGCAGATGGACTGAGCACTTCAGCAGCCATTTACAACCACAGCAAACTCTGAAATGGAGCTATCCATTGCCACTTGGCTCCCAGGGAATAAATAAAAGGTGCTCAAGGGTTAATACTGAAATTTGCTTATTTAGAACTTAACATATCTCCTTTTATCAGGAGATAAAAAGTCCTTGCGCCAAACAGACAGTTTAGATGTGCTTCCCATTAAGCTATGGGTGATACATTTTCAAGGGCAGGTTATTGGAGTCTTTCTGCTGTCAGCAAGAAATGTCAGATGAACTCTGAATATCACTAAATGTCTATGCCTTGGTAAAAAAAAAGATTTTAACTTGGAGTAATATTACAATTCAGGACAAGACACCTTGTCCAATTTATTCTCTGTCCAGCACAAAGGGACCCCGCAATACATCTGCATTTATATTCATCAACGGACCCTTACTATTCAGGGGAACAAAGCTCCAGACCCTCCTACATTCTAAGCCTAATGTGCTCAGCTACTGGTATGGCACCATTAATCATGGAGAATATGAGCTATATAGCCTTGGAAAACTGTCACCTTCCACATTTATTCATAATACTTGGTCTAATAAAATGTTCTGCACGAACAAGTGAGCTGTGAATATAACATACTAAATGTTACCTCTCCCTGTCAGTAGGTATCAGACGGGATGTGTTTGGGTTTAGCTCCTCTCCCTCTCTCCTGCATAAGGAAATCATTCAGCTCTTTACCACAGAGCTCCATTAAGCACTTTGTTTTTCATTGAATGCCTCAAATGCATACAGCCTCCGTGGATGGATAAACTGCTGCAGAAAGAGAGAAGACAGCAGCACTGATTGGCCCTGTTGTCTGAATGTATCTTTTGATTTTTGACTTTCTGCCAAAGCATCATCCTTCTGTGTTTACCCTTCAGAAGCCCTCACTCACTCAGATGCTGCACGCGTTTGCAGCTCAGCCTTCTCTCCTGCAGAAACCAAATTCATCAAAAGGAGCATCTCAGAACTCAGATTTATGGATTGTAATTTTGCAGCACAGATCCTGCATCTCAGATCTTTCAAAGCCTTGTTACAACATGAAGTAATTAAAAGAGCAATTTTACGATGCCGCTTTTTCCCTCAGATAAAAGGTTTATCTTCATGTGAAACCATAAAGATTCCAAAGTATACTTCGTCACATTGTTTTCCTCTTCCCCTCATTGTGAATCAAGATAACGGAACCACTCTAAGCCTCTGTGCCGTTGTGCTGTGTGCACACACACGCACGGATTTACACTAAGCACTGGAAACACACAATGCTTTTTCTCCCCTCTGAAGCCAGGGCTGCCACTTTCACAGGACACCACGCAGCTGCATCTCCTTATGAGCTGCTCTTGCTGCAGGAGCTGCTGCATAGCCACTGCTGCTTGCTGTGCATTTTGCACCTGAGTGAATGCCTACTGAAGGCAATGGGAACATGACCAGAATGGGTCACAGGTGAGGTGTTTGAGCTGGTTACAACCATCTGTAAACTCACTGCTTGGCACTCGGGAATCTCCCAAGACAGACACAAAACAAGGGACACTCTAGCAACATCTGAATTAGTAGCCTGCAAAAGTAGTTGTTCCCCTCTGAAAACAGAAGCAGCTCAGAGAGCACTGATGTAGCTTTTATACAAGCAAGGCTGTAAGTAAATCCTCTCTGCATAAACTCTAACAAAGCGTCAAAGAAAGGCAATTCTTACCAGTTTGTTCAAAGTCTTGTGGACTTTTCACAGATCTTCTCTCGTGATTTCTAGTGCTGCAGCCTCACTCTGAAAGCTTTGCTCCTGTATAATTCTGCTCCTATTCTTAAGAGCGGAGACACTGGTGTTGGATCCCCACAGCGCTATGTCAAAGGTTCTTCTTAAGCACCTGGGTGAGGAAATGCTCTTACTGACAGCTCACAAGCCTAAATCCCTCATGCTATTGAAAGGAAATGAATTTGGTTTCTCAAGAGCATGTAGCTTCAGAACAAGCCTTGGGAAACAAGTTTAGAATATCAGCATATGCTTCGATCCATTTTCTAGTTACAAAGGCTTCTTTATTAATGTTTTTGGCTGACAACAGTTGAGATAAGTGTTTTAGGAATGATGATAAACATGCTAAGAGAGAACAATGTGAGTGTATTTTTATTCCAGTTTTAACTTCTTTCATTGCTGTACAGCTGCATTACACTTGGCTTTAATCCCTTAAGCATTATTTTCCTTGGCAAAGTAGTCACTGATCTGAGTAGAACTTACTACTGGAAGAATATGCTTGAAAAACCAGTGTGATGTCAGTGCCAACCAAAATCCATGAGGCTTAAACTGTCACAAATGTGCCTGTAGCTGGAATATGTATCTCCTCACTAGGAATGCTGTAGTCTTAGGTAGTGAAGCCAACTGCAGAAAGCATGGAGTAGCTTCCTGCAATTGAATATGTGCCTTGCCTTCCTCTCAGTGAACAACTGTTTGAGAAACAATTGTATAAAACAATGTAGGATAATTCCTGGAATGCCTTAATGTTGGAAAGGTCCTCAAACACCATCCAGTTCCAACTCAACACCGTTCCATGGGCAGGGCTGTCCACCAGCTCAGGCTGCCCAGGGCCCCAACCAACCTGGCCTTGAGAGATGGGGCACCACAGCTTCTCTGAGCAGCTGTGCCACTGCCTCACTGCTGTACCATAGGCACCAAATGACCGTTCTGCTCTGCTTTTAGTTTTGCCTCCATTAACTACCTATGGCTATGGGTCAGAACAGGGGCTGCAGGCTTCTTAAAGAAAATATAGATCCCAATTGTGCAAAGCAACTTGAATTTTGAAATATATAAATAATCACTGCTGAAGAATAACACAGAAGACCGTGGTGATTCATTACAAATAGATGTTATAAAGGGGAACAGGAACATTGCTAGGTAAGGAGCAAGGAAGCTATTTTTAGTCCTGAAAATTTCTTCTAGTTCTGCATATGGATCATGCTGCTACTGTTACTTTCTAAGAAACTGTGTTCTGAAAAGCACTTTTGGGAAGAAACCTTTCATTGGCACCATTAGTTAATGTAGACCTTCAATGGAACTAAAACACAGTTCCCAATACAGTGTAAGAATGGGAGGAGTTAAAAAAAAAAAAATGAACAAAACCCACCATACCTGCACCAGGAGCTATTTATTAGCATAACACTCTTCCTTTTAAAGATTTCGTAACAACTGAAGTATATACAAAGTCTTACAGCATTTACACAATAAAAAAGTTTCCTATTAGCTGATGAAGTATAAGGTAGTGCTGCAATTTATTTCAAAGCATGTATACAAGAATAATGAAGCAGGCCACTGTACTTTCAACTCCTCTGCTAGCACACCACAACTGTCAGTTGAAATGACAGTTAGTTAAACCACTGGGAAGATACAGATTGTCGAAAGAGTCGTAACAGGTTCAACCTGCAGCACTAACCATCAAAGGAGGAAAGAAAATAAAGCTACATACTGTCATGTTTCTACACTTTCTAGAGCTGTAACAAACTTTCACAGCCTTAGATATAACATATGCAAGACAACATAATCACAATTTTTCAGATATAGTTCAGCTACTGAGTGTATTTACTTCGGAATAGGAGGAGTTACATTGATATGGCTGTGTGTTTCCATTTTTGTTCATTAACTGTTCAAATAGGTCTACAAAACAAATTAAAAGACAGCATGGACTTTGTAGTCATGATGTGTTTGACTAATAAAGGCATTCAATATCAGCTATAGGATCTAATCATTCCTGTCAAAAGTTTAAGACCAGGAATCTTAAGAGTAAAAACGAAACCCACAAAATCCTGCACCTATGATGCTTTTGTGTGTTGACTCTAACCTTCTTTAAGCTTTTCCAACAGGGTAATACAAAATCATTAAAATGCTTACACCAAAGCAAATGCAATACTCAGTTTATGAGTGGTCAAGCAGATTCATTAGACCACCTCAGCTGTGAGACTGAGGGTGCTTATCTAGAAACAGAAACCTAAACAGTCCCTTACTACAGGTAGGGATACATATTTTAGCAAAGAACAGCGCATTCCTTGCCTTTCAGAAACAGCTTTGCAGCTGCCAATAATCCACCTTCTACAAGAGATAAGGTTGCTTTGCCTACTGCTGCATGTCTAAACCTCTTACAGTGGCCAATTTTTCCCCGCGGGCCCCCCCCCCCCCCACTCTCCCCCTGAATGGGATTCCATTTCAACTTAGAACCTAGAAACGTCAGTTGAAGATATCAGTATTAAGACAAAAAGTGACATATAAAACCCACAAGGAACCACATAAATACCAAAGAAGTCATATAACCTTTCCATGTAAACACTTTGATTATACTAAAGCCCTAATTAGATTCTTGTCTTAAACTTTTGGCAGATAATGTGTATGCTCAGCCAGGCTCTGCAGTTGGTTATTGTTCAAGTGGAAGCCAGGTCAGTTCACATGTTGACAGGCATGCAACTTGGAAACATTGCACAACAAGCAACACAAAGAGATTTGAGAAGTGTACAAGACTTCAAGTAGACTTCACAACCCTTCACAACTGAATATTCACAGACAAAGATACAGTCCTTGCTTTTTCTCCTGTGGATTTTCTCACACATGGGACACTTTCTGTGACTCTCTAGCTTGCTTGATGCTATACAACCACTTGATGATTCTGGCATTCCTTTCAATAGCAGAAATGCCGTATGGCACACGGTCATTGGCACTGTCATCATTTCTAAGGTCACTGTTGCTGTCCTGAGACTGTTCACAGTCTGAGCTAATCATGCTTGCACTGCGAAAGTTGAGGGATATAATATCAGAGTTAGCCCTTGCAAAATTTTCCATCCCAAGGTTTTCAAGCTCTTCAGGATCCAGTCCACAGTAGTTAAAGAATCGTTCAACATCTGCGTCGACACGAAAGTATCTGTCGCTTAAGTCTGATTTTGATCGCTGTAGGGAGGGTCTTCTACTAACTCCGCATCCAGACTCAACTGCCTCAATCTCTGGGGACTTCAGGGTGGCAATGGCAGCAATTTTGGGTTTTGGAGGCAGAGGTGGGGCTGAACTACTGCAAGGTATTGCTTTTAAGGGCTTTGTGCTAGTTACTTTCCTAATGTCTGAGGAGCTGTGAGAGACATGCAAGAAAGTCTCTGCAGACTGGTCTAGGAGCCTTCTACTGACATTGGAGCTGCTCTCCTGGGGGCTGCTACGGCCCTGTGTGGGATAGACCTTCAAGGACTCAGCGAATGAATGTCGGTTCAGTTCCGTCGAATCGGCTCTGTGGGGTGGCCAGTTTCGGGGACCATGCTTGTGCCCCGAACCCGAGCTGGAGCCTTCAGAGCTATTGATGATGTTCTTCAGAATCTCTAGCTTCAGATTTTCTCTCTGGACACCGCTCTCGGTCTTTGCATTGTTGCTGAAGACCTTCAAGGTGGGGCTGCCCAGTGCCCGCTTGGCCGCAGGACAGACCGGCGGCTTCGCCAGCACTGCTGGCTTCACAGGCTCCTGCTTGGCATTGATGACCTCCTGGCTTTTGACGTATTTCGCCTTGTCGGCTTCCAGCCTCTCCACCGCGCTCAGTCTTTTGGGGTTAGGCTCCGCCTGCCTGCGAAAATAGTCAGGTCCTTTGTTCAGGATGCGGAGAGGGACGGCGGATGTGAAAGTCACAGCAGGGCTGACCGGCTTCACCATGCTACCTGTCGGTAGTGTTTCTGTAGGCATGTTTGGTGGTCTTTCCCCCGCAGCCGTTTTGGATTCTTCTCTGGGATCTCCTAAACGCACGGTGTAGAAACATGTACATTAAGCACAATGAATAGCCGATGAATCCAGGGATCTGAGCGTTAGCAGCAGCGCCTCATCTCACAGCTCATTAAATAACGCTGTGCTTCTCTTTTAAAGGCAGCCTTTGTACTGCAAGGCCACCAGACACAAGTCTGTATTAGTCTGCTCCACTGCCTCCTTTCTTCTCGCTGAAAGATGTGGGAGTCTCCTTGCTTCCTTTGTGCGATCTGAAAGGCAGAAGAGCCAACCACATGTTAGTGGCAGCGCCTGACATCAGAGCGATAGCAACAGCAGCCCAACCCTCCTCTCCTCTCCTGTGGCAGCGCGGGGAGGCAGCGCTGGGTGCCCCACCACCACCCAGTGGGATTATGGCAAAAGGAAAGGGGAAGCACACGAGGCCCCTGCTGGGATGCAGCCACACGTGTCTGGGGGCAGGTAAGGGACAGTGATGCCAAATGGGCTGGGCCACTGGGTTAGACCCACATACCTCCAGATGATGAACGAAAGTGCACTTTCAAACACTGCCTGTGGCTTTGTCTAGTTGATTTCTCAACATACTTTATCTCTAAACCCCCAAAGTTTTTCTCCTTAGAGGCAACATATAATTCTAACAAAGGCAGAGTATTTTCCTATTTTATTAAATGCTCCGGAAAACAAGCCAGTCTAAAACTCAAGGAGAAAACAGAGATATGTAGTGTTTTAATTGCAAGGCATACGCTTCATCATTAAGCTAACAGAAAAACAAGCAACCAACCAGAGATACTGCTGAAACCCCATACTGCAGCTTCAAGGCTGTTTGAACACGAGTCCCCACAGCAAAACAAGGATTTCCAAGTTCTTAAGGAAGGGCAAATTAACTATAACAGGATAACCCTAAACCTAATGAGAATAAACAAATATTTTATTCTTTTAATGATGGATTTTGGAAGCATGTAAAACATTCCGACCTGACTTGAAAAAAGAGAACTTGTCTTTGCATTTAGATACAATTGTTCCAGCTTTCTAGGAGCACAACGTCCAAAACAACATTTACCTTTATTTAAATTGTTTTAAGATTCTGTCACTTCAGACTGCCACAACACCACACACAACCTAAAATGCAACACTGCAGATAACATGGCAAATGCTGTAGCAATTTCTCCCGCATGAGGCACTGAAGAGCACTTACCAAAGAACCTAGTTTTAAAGCAGCGATTTAGCTAATGGGCCTCATTTGTTTTATTACTGCCCCCATTAATCTACACTGTCCTTTTTAATATCCCATTTCTGCTATCATCGTGTTCTTCAGGGAGAGCAGGAAAAGCTGCTGCTGCTTCTTTACTCATCCCGAGGTGCTCAAAGCAGCATCCTTCCCAGCGATGACCTGCTTTTGCCTCTATTGCCATGCTCATCTATTGTTACCCAACTTACTAACCCTAGTGTATTTAACTATCAGTATGTTGTTTGGACCAACAACAACAACAAAAAAAACCAAACTCCTCTAAATCCCACAGAAAAACCCGTAATTCCAGCTAAATATACCTTAAGAAACAAAGAAAGCAGCCTCAAGTATTTATTCCCAGAAGTACACGATACATACAATGAATATTTTCTCTAAACCACTCAAGGTCAAAGCAAGGAAACCAAATGTATAAATGCTATAATGAGATTATAGGAAAAAGCTGAGCTTTCTCCTGAAGGCTCACTGTCACAAGCATTCTTCAAATACAAACTAACATATTTAGGTGGGTGATAAACCAGACATGCATTCAGTGCAATTGAAAGGGTAGTGAAATGTTAATTAAGCTTTCCTTTCAGTGTTGTTTTATAAATCCTAGTGACTTCCTGAATTTTAACTAAGTCTTCCTGAAAGAGAAAAAGCTCTTTTTTTCCTCATTTGAATCAACATATTTATTGGGACTATTTTAAAAATTAAGCATTGACTTTCCAAATGTGCTGAAGGCAATTTTAGCAGGCATCTGCACATACACATTTCTGTTCCATATACACAAATCAAACCCGCACTGCCAGCACAGAGCTTGTAGAAATTCCTGATTGCCGTATTTAGTGCTTACATGCAGAAATTGAATATATGCAAGGACAAGGGCCTTGTCATGAGAAAAGAAAAATGAAAAGAAAAAAATTCACTCCAAAAGCCAACCCTTCGATTCTATGTACTAAACCAACACTGTCACCCAACCCAGTTACTAGCACTTGAATAAGCAAGAGCACAGCTCTGCAATTCTCCTCAGCCACTGTCACTGAAGGCCATGGTTCTGCCCAGAGGAACTCCTGCCAGCTCCACTCTGCTCCCAGAGAGCTGCTCTGAGCACACCGCAGATTTCTGGGGCTGTGGGAACCAAGGCTTTTGGAAGTCTTTCCTCAGCATTTAGTAACTCCCTCACTCAGGACAGCCCTGCTTGATGCCAGCAAGCACTGCTTAGAAGGCTTTCTTCAAAGGAAGAAAGAAGAAAAAAATTCCCACTGTGCATGCATGTTCACCCAAGGGAACGAGAGTGCTTGTTTGCAAGCACACACGGGGCTAAATGCCCTGAAGTCAATGGAAATACACTGTGACTGGCAATGAGCTCCAGGCATGCCTTCAAAGAAAAGCAAAGGGCTGGGGGGAGCCAGGGCAGAGATGCTGTCTGGAGACAGCATGGGCCAGGTGGTTACGTGGCCAGACAGGGAGCTCTGTCCTTGTGCTGCTGGTAAAAACTGAGGGTAGACTCAGCTAGTAGTAGAAAGCATGTTGCATTCCTGAGGTACTGTGTTTAAACATCACGGGGAAGTTTACTCAGTACTCGCACCTCAGAGAGCTAGAAATTGTTAATCAGACTGCACTAGAACAGAAAGCATGGTGGAAGACAGGTGGATGTAGGTACTACTGAAACAACCTCTCCTGCCTGTGCTCTGATGACTGCAGCCTAATTCTGCTGTGAGCTGGGACACCCAGTGCAATTCCTATCAGTGCCTCTGTTGTTCACAGGCACTTGAAACACGGCCATGATGCTAGGAGAGTCACTTACTAATTTCAGCACTAACAAAAAAGGCTGAGCAGCAGCAGCACAGCATAGTCATGGGAAGACGAAACTGTGCCACTTTGTTTCCAGTTGTGAAAACCATAATTGCAGCAACAAGGGTGGAAATGGCTTTCTGTTGGCCTAAAATGAAGAAAGTTCAAGCTTAGCCATTGGAATTGCCTGTTGTGGATGGCTCCAGTACTGGCTTTATACTGTAGAAATTCAGAGGCAACACTTCCACTCCCAGGAAATGAAATATACTTAGGGGCCTAAGAAACATTTTACAAGAGTTCACATCCAGATGTCTATTCTGTAAATGCAATTCTTCCCAAGGATGGGATTATGTTTTTCAGGATTCGCTCCAGACTCCCATTATTTCACTTCCTTAGAAAAAGATCACTAGGCTTAAGAGATCATTTAAAAAGAATCAAAACTGCAAACTTATGCACACATTCAAGCATGCTTCATTTTAATAATACACATACACTGATAAAAGCTTTCTTGAAGTTTGTACCACTGAGCTCTTCTAAAATCAGTGCCTGTTGCAGAACTACTGAGCAGAATACAAAACACACAAAGGAATAGAGGGGCTTAGGTTTTTAAAGCTCTATTTTCAACCAGGCACTTTGATTCAAGATTCCTTTGTGGCAGAGGGAGTGACCCAAAGCACTTACTCATCCTAGGCATCATGCTCTCATTGCCCTTAGACCTGCCATACATTTGTTAGATATTCACAATTAAGCAACAGGCTTACCTGCTGCATGATTTGGGACAACATGGTGCAGCAGCAATAGCTATACAACTAACAGTAACTAGAAACAAATTCTCAATTTCTCAATCTCAACAAATTTCTGTCTTGCCTTGTAGCTCCTATACCTTGATCAAGTTTCAATCAGCCTTTGCCTGAACGTCTACTCTGAAACCACTACATATTTTAGCAATATTCAAGTTGCAGCACAGCAGCAAAAAACAACAGTGAAATTATGGCATACATGATAACATGGGAATTTTTACTCTTTCAGTGAGGATGCATCTTCACCCACCAACACTGTGCTGAACTGCAGAGCTCATGCTCTTACTTCACTCCTCTGGGACAGAGAATGAGGGATGGACAGGAGGTACGGAGGACAGAATGAAGCACAGTGGGTACATATAACAAAGCCTAACAGCCTTTCCTCTGCTTTCCTTGGTATTTAAAGGCCTGTGTCAATTATATTTTCCTGATGGTAAAGTATAACTACGCAGCCTCAAGATGCACCACAAGCATCATAAATTCAAGTACAAATGATCTCAATAGAGCTCAGAGAAATCACAAAACAAATTTTGCACAGGGCCATAGCATACAGATGAAAAATCATAGGTTCAGCGAATGGCGAGGTGCACATTAAGAGCCTATAAAGCCAATGAATGAGGACTTCAGTGAGAGTAACTTGCTACAAGGCTGTGCACTAGGATATAGTATCATGTACGCCTCAAGCCCATACCAGTTCTTAGGAGAACCATCAGCATAAACCTTGCATGTAGTTTATATTAATAAGTTTAAAAATATGAACAAAAACAAATAAGGATTAAATTGGCATTGAACAATCCACCTCCAGAATGGCAGCAGTATGACATTTGTGAAACCAATTTTAGATAAACACAGACGGGTGCAAACTTGGCCTCATATTACATTAGCTGTTAAGACATAAAGCGTGAGGAGATGGAATCATCTTCCAGATCTACCATGAACCAAAATCAAATCAAAGTGATGCCCTTTGGGAACATGAAACAGTGACAAATAAATGAAGGGCAGTATCTGCTCAGGGAGGAGGTGGAGCCCCCAAAAGGTCATAAAACTCGGTATGCAGTGACCTAAAACCAGGAGTGGCACAGGGATGTAGAGGTGGGAAATTTCCACCAATGGGGAAAGCTGGTGATCAAGGCAGCTGCTTTGCACTGTGTATTATATATTTAAGCCAATTCTGATTTGCTCTGGCATTACACTCAACAACACCCACTGATGTTAAATATCTGCCTGAAGTGCAGTAAGTTGACAAGTTTGCACAAGAAAACCTTGAAAGATAAAACTCTATCAAGAATGCCACCATTACTTGACAGTTTCTATTTCACTTTGCAGTTAAAATGAGGTTTAAACGAGGATGTTGATGTAACCAGAAACGCTTACACTGTTATGGGGAAATAGCATTTGGAAAATCCACGGAGGTACAAATGTTGGGGATGCA